ATTGAAATCCTGACTAGAAGAATAAGGGCTGTTCTACAGACCAAACTATCAGCAGATGCACAGTTCCATCTTTCTCCCAGCTTCTTCTAATTCTCCCTTTCTTTTTTACTTTCTCACATGATTAATGCCGTCTACTAATAAAAGGCCCTGCAGGATCTTGCTCTTTGGCAGCATCCTGCATTATGTAGCATGCTCTACGACTCCTGTTTCTTTGTCAGTGTGGTGTGCCCAATGCAACAGGTTACAACTTTCTTTGCCTTATTTTTCTTCACTTATATCTAGAGGTAGGCAGTTCATAGTTGGAAGAACAGTTCAACAATATCCCAAACTCTCTTGATCCTTCTTTCCAATGGTCTTCAGCTTTAATAGAATCACATTTTCAGCCTCATATTTACCATCTCATGGTTGCAAGACTGCAGGTACATGTCCAGGTTTCATTTGCATTTAAAGCACAAAGAAAAGAGCAGAGTATTGGCCATCTATTTTCTCTTCAGCTGGAAAGAAAAATACTCCCACACTTCCTTTCAAAATTACTGGCAAAGGAGAATGGGATTTTCATGACTGCCTCAACGGGTCAGGGGTTTTGCTCGAGACTGGTCACACTGCCACACCTAATAAAATAAAGGCATGCCATCAAGAGTGGGAATTAGGGAGTCCACTCACAATAACTGCCACAACAGATATTTACAGTTTTAAGAGAACGTTTGAAAATGGAAAAAAATCTCTGTTGGGCCAGTCAGGAGCGACAAGGGGCTGAACACTGCCCCTTACCTACTGGGCAACACCCAAGGAGGAGATTAAGCATGACAGTGTCACAGTCTGAACTGTGCCCCTTCCATCCTCATTAAACGGGCTGCTGGGAAGTGGGCAGAGCTGAGCAACCATTTTGTGAGCCTTTAAAAGGAGCCATGTACTTCCCTTAGAGTTGTTACGAAACATAGCCATCCTCTGGGCAATGGCCTTCAACGCTCAGAGTGGGAAGCCCCCAAACTTAACAGCAGCAGGGCTCTTCCAAATAATGCCAGGACCTGTAGCTGCAACTCCATCTTGCACCACTGCCTGGTAACTGGACCTTTCTCCTATGCTGGTAGTGCTCTCTCTCTCTCTAGCCTATTACTTAAGGTAAATTGTTTGTCTTGCTGCACCAAAGGCCCTTTTGTTTGCATTTGTGGTGTTTGGTGCCTGGACCTAAAACTGGTGAGAGAGGTTCTGACCCAGTGGCTCCTTTTGCCCAATAACATCTCTATTTGGTGAAATGTTTAAAAACCACCTGGGGGGCCCTTCCTGGCAATGCAGTGGTTTAAAGCACAGCACTGAGAAGCTAAAGCCACTTCCGCATGAGTTCAATCCCCACCTGCCCCGTAGGTGACCCATATGGTACAGCAGACCTCTCCTGACCCGCCTGTTGCTCCCCTCAGCAGTGTACTTCG